CTCTCTCTCTCTCTCACCGGCGCGCGCGCGCTCCCTCGCTCGCTCGCTCGCTGTCTCTCTTCGTTTCTCCTTTTCAGGCTCTGATTGCTCTTTACTGGCTACCGTCTTCCCCCGAATAGAACGCCCGGTCATTATAGCTGCATTTGACACAACTTTAGGTCCAGATGCAGCGATAATGACCGGGCGTTCTATTCGGGTGAGGACGGTAGTGAAGGTCCGACGAGACGAAGGAGGGACATTGTTCGAGCTCGATGGATCGACCAACAGGGGGCACGTAAACTTCGTAAAGTAGCGGGGCCCGGATCTCTTCCCCTTCGAGTACTTCTTCGCCTCCTGCTGAAAGAAAGGAAAGGACTCGTCTGACACGTGGTTCAACGAGAGGTGGGCAGGTTTTAGCTGTACAGCGCTGGTGCCCAGGACCGCTGTCCGGCAGGTCCGCTGGAATGATGGTTTTCGGTGTTCCTGGCGGAGTAGTGGGTGCGCGATAGAGAAAATGAATGCTGAGGTAGGGAGGGAGGGGCCTCGTGAGCTCATCAAGAAACGCAAGGGCATTAGCCCTCGGGCTCCACGAGGATGTTAAGGTCCTACCTAGGAAAGCGAGTAGTGGGAGAAGGATAGTGGTTGGGCTCTTGTGAGCCGTTCGATTCGTCGCTTCTCCATTCCGGAGAGTGTTCTGGGTGACCGTGACCGTCGGCTGATCGGGACCGGGATCGACATGGGGGTTGGGCGGTCTACACTGTCTGAGAGACTGGGCAGGGTCGGGATCAACACCTGGCCTTGGGCGATCTTCACCTCAGATGGACGTCACAGCCGGGATAGTCGCCGTCAGAACGCTACCCACACAGTCGATAGAGATGGTGATCTGGATCGTGACTGGCCGTCGGAGGTCATGCAACAGCCATCAGATCCGGATGGAACCCTTTTTTCTTTTTTTTTTCACCAAAACAACCTGCTTCCCCGCCCCTGGGACCATTTCTCTACTTACGCGTGGGATCAGACCGCAGGGGCCAAGTCCCACTAGCAGCGTTGAGCTACCTCAACGCCTGAATCTGGACGTGTTTGTGGAGACATGCAGTTCAGGAAACTCAACACCATTTCTGCACATCTCCACAAAAGCGTCCAGATTCAGGCGTTGAGGTAGCTCAACGCTGCTAGTGGGACTTGGCCCCAGCGGTCATGCTCATCTTCTCTGTATTATCTCTCGAATTTTAACGGATGTCCCGGGGCCAAATCCCACTACCAGCGTTGAGCTACCTCAACGCCTGAATCTGGACGCTTTTGCGGCGATGTGCAGAACAACGCCTGAATCTGGACGTGTTTGTGGAGACGTGCAGTTCAGGAAACTCAACACCATTTCTGCACATCGCCGCAAAAGAATTCAGGCGTTGAGGTAGCTCAACTCTGCTAGTGGGACTTGGCCCCCGGAACGACAAAACCAACCGATTTAAGATTTGATCCCCCACCCCCCCCAAAAAAAAGATTTGATCCTGATGCAGATGTGCAGTAGCCCAGTTGGTCGGGCACCTGTGCTCTACAGGTTCCTGTGTTGCAAGACAAGCCGCGGGTTCGAGTCCTTACGGCCTAGAATGAGTGCTCGCTACCTTGTTCCCCCAGATACGAAGTACGGTAATTATAGTTGTATCTAGACTGAAAAAAAAAAAAAAAAAAAAAAAAAAGATGCCTCGAATAGAGCTATAATGACCGTCCGATGTAGGAAGAAGGTACTGGACTCAGGCGCATTTGCATCCTCGACGGTCGCAAGGCTGTGTAGATGGTGTATGGGGGGTCCAACCTGTAGAGCGTCCTGCTGGCTGTTCTTATAACATCCACAGTTGGGGGCGGAGGGTCGCTCAGCAACTGGGTAACTGGGTGACTGGGTATCCGGGCATTTGCATCCTTGACGGTTGGAAGGCTGTGTAGATGTTGTCATGGGGCGTCCCACCTGTAGAGCGTCCTGCTGGCTGTGCTTACAACATACACAGTTGGGGGGCGGAGGGTCGCTGAGCTACTGGGTACCGTTGGGAGTCTCCCGGTTGGAATGCCCCACTCTGCCCTGGGTGTGTCCTGGGAGTGTGATTATAGCATTGGCCATCAGGGTAGGGCCTGCCTATACCTCAGCCTGCACAACTTTCCGGCCAGCACAAAGGGCTGGCCCGGGCTCCGTTGGTGGACCCATGAAAATTACGAGCCAAAGTTCGAATCCAGATGCAATAGACGCAGAGAATAAAATAATTGTGAATTACCTAAGGGCTGGTCAGTTCAGTGATTATATCTCAGTGCTGGGTCGAACACCATCTGCCTGGGTCCCAATCGGACGTCCAGACCTGTGCTCATAAGGACGAGGGATGGACCAGTGCAGAAAGACACAACCTGGTTCAGCTGCAAGGAACCATGCAATGAGAACACCAATAAACCAGATTGCGACATCTCACAGAAGACCAGACATAATTGAGCCTACTCGGAGTTGAAAGTCGAAAATCAAAACGAAATCCACACGAAATAGGAGCGAGAAATGTGCTGAGGCCCTTCCTACTTCCTTGCTCCTCCCAGCCTATCTACATGTCAGCTGTCTGTCCACGTGTCAAACACCCAATGCTGATTGATGCCTCTCCTCACACAGGCCGCCTTCGTCAACACCAGGTATGTGCGCTCGGTCCCTACTGCCTACCTCTCCTGCCGACCTCCACACCTCCACCACTCCGCTTCATGGGCGCGTAGCCAGCTATGGCTAGCACCTAGCTGGCTACGCGCCTTCCTTCTCTCGCTGCCACCACACAGCTTCTCTTCTCCAACGGGCACTGCTCGCTGCTCTTCCTGGCAGCGCTGTCGCCGTGCAGCCTCACTGCCAGAATGTGTTGAATGCCAGGCCTGCCAGACGTTTGTTCTGGACGAGGAGACCGCAGCCGTGCCCTGCCCAGTGCCAGTAGGTGGTTCCTCGGGCCTGCTGGGTCTGTGTGCAGATCCCAGCCACCACAACTAAATCATGGGCTGGGTCCTGGGTTAGTTGCAGAGGCTGGCTTCTGCCACTTCGGGGGCTCTGGCCGGCCCTCACTTAGGGCCTACCTACGCAGGGGTACAATTCCTCTCACAGACCAGGTGCGGACAATAAGGCTTGCTGACCCGAAACGGCTACTTGGCCTATGCTGGTCCACACAGGCATCTCGGGCTGTTTAGACTCGGACAAAACAAAGCCTGAACGTCCTGTCCCCTGCATTGCGTGGTTGCTATGCATATGACATTCTTTATCAGCTGGCGACTCCATGTGTTTCCTATAGCTCAAACAGGCATCAAACGGTGGGTTGCAATGGTAGCGACCCCTAGGAGTTTTCCAGCAATTCTGTAGGCTTAGAAAGAGGGAGGCACAATGATGCCACCACACATATACGGTCGGATGTTAGACTTCGTACATATGGCAGTGGGGAAGATTACAGTCGGCACAGACTCGGCAGTGATTTTTTTGCACTTTTGGAAAGCTGGTGGGCGTAGAGGCAAGGAGGACAGGCCTCGGAGCACATGGTGACAGGGAGCCAGGCCTCTGGACTACTGTCTTCCCCCAAACACAATGCACGCTCATTTTGGCTGCACAGGACCGGAAACATAGCTTGTATACATTCTTATGAATCTTATCAGGGTGCGTTGTAGGTCCAGCAGATTTACATAGATTTAGCCTTAAACTTGGAGGTCCCTCCAGCAGTCATGCTATTGCTCTGGCAAAAGGGGGATGCGGCAGATCAGCTGGAGATGCAGTAGGAGCTTGGTGTTGAAGAAGAAGACCTCCATGGATGTGAGAAGAGAGTAGGAGGGGGAAGGATAAGGTTTGGCAATGCTCGCTAGGGTTAGCGCCCACACTGGGCAATGTAGAAGTGGAGGACATGAGCCAAGTGAGAGGAGAAATAAAAAGAGGGGAGCCATGCCAGGATGAATACCTTTTGTTTTTGCGGACTTTCATCTTCCCTCCTATGTGTGGTGTGTTACATCAAGAAGATCCTTTTAGGGTTCACTCCAGTCGAAAACATCACCCAGGAGTGTGCCACTGCTGTTCTTTTTTTTTTTTTTTTTTTTTTTTAAACATCTGGATTGGGGAGTAGAGGGCATGCTGATACGAGCAGACACCCCCTCTACCCCCCAAGATGAGAAGATGACTCCGTTCCATTGGTGGGGAGCTGCACCTGCTGGAAACCGGTTCCAGCGTCCCTTACATCATGAACTAAGCAGACAGGTGCCACTGCTGTTCTAGATGTTGGAGGGGGAAGTTGTTTTGTGTTGCCTTCGGTGCATCATGCTTGAGTGGTGTTAATGGATCGCTGGACATAATAGTGCTCTCGCACACCGTACACATCCAATCATAGTTTGTTTTCGGCTGTACATGTTGAAATTATATGTCAACACATGCATGAAAGCAATATGGATACGATAGATGTATTAATCACATTTCAAGTCTTAGACAGTTATAGAAAGAGTGGGATTGTCCAGCAGACATTGAATCATGGACCAGAATGTGGGCGGACAATCAGTCGGGCCTCTCACAGCTGTGATGGTTCCAGTCCTACTGAAGGGATGAAATAGGAAATGTTGAATATGGAAACCATGGCACTCGACTTTATCCTCGCAGTCATGTGCAAAAGCATATTGCAGAAGAACAATTCTGTGCGACTACTACTGGCAATTTATTTTTCCTTACATAGTGGTATGACAGTACAGAACTTCCATTGGTGGCAATTTATTTTTCCTTACATAGTGGTATGACAGTACAGAACTTCAATTGGTTAAGTAACCATTGGTTAACTCATAAATAACCTTTGGTGAACTCATAATTAACCAATGTAAGTGGGACCTCACCCCTGTAGTGTATCTATTGGCAGTATGAGCTCACCAATGGAAGTGGGTGAGGTCCCACCCACTTCCATTGGTTAACTCGTACTTGCCAATGGAAGATGAAGGTTGATGGTCAGTCAGTATTAAGCAATCTATGGAAGCGGGGCCCGCCCCAGGGATTAGCCCAGGGACTCTTAAGTTGGACAGCATGTGGTTTCCTTGTTCTAGGTGTGTACGGTGTGGTACCTGGCAGGTAAGCTCTTCAGGATGACATCGGTGGCTGGTGCCTAACTATCTCTATGCTGTGTGATCATTGCTGGTTTCCTCTGCATGTTTTGGCATGGTGGTGTTCCCTTCACAGGCCACTGTTTCACTGAACGCAACACGTTCGGGGTTCGCACAGTTCGCACACATCATCACTTGAAGCTGAATAACTATCACGTTGGCTATGGCAGTATGAATCGCACTGAGCTGAGGACTGTGAGGGTGTTGGAGGTATGGATACCGAGAGACTATGTGTACTTGGACACACAAACTCCGGGTGGCCGTATCTTCAGGCTTAGTAGTGATTTGGCCATCGCGAAATTGGCAGAGCCCCTTGCCTTCTCAGACAATGTGGCGGCAATCCCGCTTTCTGGAGACGAGTCTCATCTGCGACATGGCTCGGACCTGACTGCTAGTGGATGGGGAAGCATATTAGGATCGGGCGACTTGGCACCTGGCCATTTACCACAGCAGCTGCAGTTTGTGACTCTGGATCACCTGTCAGATGTCTGTGACAGAATGTACAATAATGATCAATATACTTTGCTCGGCAATTCAAGCACTTGGTACAGCCGAAGGGAGATGCTTTGTGCAGGATGTGAAATGGGAGGCTCGGGCACGTGCAATGGGGACAGGTGTGTTTCGTTTATCTCTCAGCTGTCAATGGTTTCTCTTCCTCCTCCACTTATCTCCTCTTCCTCCGTCTGTTCCCATCTTCTCCTCCTCCTCCTCCTCCTCCAGATGCGTTTGCTTGTTTTGCTGTTTGGTTGACTCTGTCCTGTGCATATTCGGCAATTGATTGACTGACCCACTTTGTTATCAGAGATCAAGTGAGATTTGCTAGGCCGCCAGATGGGTAGATGTCAGGACGGCTTGATTGGATAAACGAGTCTGTGATTGCTTGATTAATTACTCAATTGAACTTACAATCTTGAGATGAAGTATTTCTGTTTGTGGGTAATGATTGCAGGACAGCATGTCGAGACTCTTGATAAGTTGAGAGTGACACATTGAATGATGGCTACTGTGGACATGCACACCGATCCCATCTGGACAACAGCATCCGATGGCCTGGGATGGATCTGGACATCTGGATCTGATCCGAATGGGCAGGTGCCCCAAAATCCATCTTTACCATTTTACCATACCTGCTGCGCAAGTGTGCGGTGTGGGCCGCTGTGCGCTGTGTGCAACCCCCAGGTGCACGGAAAAAGAAAAAAAAATAGAGGACAGCGGCTGTGACGTGTGAAAGCTCACGCACACACGCACGAGAGAGAGAGAGAGAGAGAGAGAGAGAGAGAGAGAGAGAGAGAGAGAGAGAGAGAGAGAGAGAGAGAGAGAGAGAGAGAGAGANAGAGAGAGAGAGAGAGAGAGAGAGAGAGAGAGAGAGAGAGAGAGAGAGAGAGAGAGAGAGAGAGTAAACAAATAGCCCTTCGACATTAATCAGAAAAACCCTGCGGGTAATCCGAGAGGCCCCTGCAGATAATTAGCAAGGGCCTCCTCGTCCCGAAAGAGGTAGTTCTCAAACACATTGAAATGAAGAGCAGCACGCCAATGCTGCAACTATGTATGGTGTTCAGCAGGTATTGGACCACTGAGCACGTGATTATCTGGGCAATAGCAGGCTAACTCACCACGTGATTTTCAGGGCTTCCATCCACTACTCACCAAATGTTCAAAACTATAATGAATCTTCTGCTAGAACATGGAACCATACGCCGCCATATGTTTTGTCTTTTGTGCAAGTGGTGAGAAGTGGAGGCAGGCCCTTAGGGCCACTGTAAGTAGTTGTAACCCATAACTCCTGGAACACAGACCTGAATCCGGATCCAGAAGATTTATTGCTGGCCTGCTCCTCTCTCATGCGAAATTTGATGAATGTCTCTGCTGAGACATGAGAGCCCTGCAGACTCTCTGCTGGGGGCCCTTTGGAAAAGAAACTATATTGAAGGGGGAATACGTGGCCCAAATTTTTCTTTTCTGTGCCCTTATAATTTTTAGAAGGGAGGTTTGGCTACCTCAGCCAGCCGTTTCCAATTTTTTTTTATTGACACTATTTATTTGGGTGTGCGCGCACACTGCCAGCCGTTTCCAATTTTTTTTTCATTGACACTATTTATTTGGGTGTGCGCGCACACTTGCGCTTCGTGCCGCACGTGCGGAACTCCTGCGCACACGATGCGCCGCAGGTATGAGATTCTTTACTCTTGCTCCGGATCTTTCGATTTGATTCCATTTGGAACTTGGTTGCCAATTTCGAGATGACACCCTGCCAAAAGTTGGTTGTAGTGCAGTGTGGACGATTTTAAAATTTTGATTTCCCCCCCCCCCCCTTTAGATTTCTTCCCATTTTTCGTAAGAAATGGAAACTGAAGACATCCATACATCCGGATTCTGGACGATGGACTTCAGTCCATCTGGACTCCAGTACGGCAGTCCATCTGGACTCCAGTATGTCAGTCCATCTGGACTCCAGTATGTCAGTCCATCTGGACTCCAGTACGGATGTCTGAACGGTACCCATACATTGCAATTGATAACAATTGAGTGGTCTGCAAGTGGGAAGTGGATGCCTCCTCTGCGTGCGAACCACTGCTTGCACTCGCGGGCCCAGTAGAAGCAGCTGAAACCTCCAATGGCTATTCCCTTTTGGTGGCTGTTGCGTCTGCCACTGCTGCTGTCACTGTAGTCAGTAGGGAATGATATGACTCTCCTTGCCACACTTGAAGCGCTGCCGACTATCCGTGCGTTGCCACCTTTGGGCTTTCGACAAGTTCATGTGTTTCCAGGGTTCTCCTTGCACGATCTATGGGTGTCGAGGATACCCTCATGGGCCACAAGGTGGAAAGTTGTTTCCCCCTCTCCACTGCAGTGGATAACGCAAGTTGTTTCTACCTCCTTGCTGAGGTGGATACTGACATCCACTGTCTGCTGTGGTCGATACTGCAATCTACATGTTCTGTTCTGTGGTGGACCCACAACCTCCTGATCGCTAATGCGTGGGGAAAAGCACTTGGTCAAACCGAGAAACAGGAGGCTCGCACCTCCGAGGCCGGCGCGGGAGATAAAAGTTGGAACGACCTTTCCTTTATAGGCCTTGTAAGCCGCGTACTCCCCTCCATGGTACCCACTCTCGCAATTCATCTCAATCTCACCGTAGGGCACTGGCTTGCCCTCACCACCTTCTAGAATGACAAACACGTGATCTCCGGTGGCTACATTCTTTATAGTCATCTCCACTTTCCACATTCCTCCTTTCTTCAGCTCGGAGTAGATGGGAAGGTTCACCTGTTGTTGAAGGGAAGCTATATATCTATGTTTGCTGCATAGCGCTGGTCGTCCTCCCTTCGTCCTTAAGACCGGGGCTAATGCGTTCCTCACTGACTCGGCCATGCAGCGCTTCGTGATATGTCGTCGATGTCCTGACTGCTGCAGTAGGTAGTCCATCATTCTGGACAAGATCATCCACGTTACACCAGTGGATGCACATAATGTCCTCCCCCACCTTCAGTCCCTTGCTTTATGCTGAGCCTGTCAAATAATCCTTCGAGGAACTCATTCCAGGTCAAGCTCTCGCAATACTGATCAATTCCCGCCTCCTGACATGAAGCCTGCCCCTGACTGAGTACGCACGCCTTCACATCACCCTTTACACTGGTGGTGGCTATCACCACCCGGTCCTCAACAGGTATGCGTTCTACATCCATATACGTCCTGATCTCTGCTACCCAAGTTAGTATATCGCCCTCGTTGCTAGAGTAGGCCTCGGGAAGCTTCATCCCAACACGGTCCCTATAGCTCTGCCAGTATGGCAGTCAGGAACCTCTCCTCCCTCCAGATACTTCATGTCTCCATCTCCACCTTATTGCCGTTGCCACCATTTCCATTGTCATCACCTCGGCTTCCACCATCTCCAACTCTAAACTTCTGCAGGTCTTCCCTCATTGTTTGCAGCATTTCATCCGTTATGGTAATCTCCTGTGCTTTCTTGAGGGCTGCAATCTGTGCTAGTGCGGCGTCTAAATTGGTAGCAGTGTCCACTGCAACGGTGGTAAGCATGATCAGGTCCGGACTCTCCCTTGCTGCTAGCTGTGTCTTCACGCGAGAGGATTCTTTTTTTTTTTTTTTTTTGATAAAACAGGTCCTTTTGGCCCTGGCTCCATATCCATTCTTTTTTTTTTTGATAAGCCAGCTCACAGGCCAATAGAAGGGTTGTTTTACGAGCACCCCTTGCTCTGGCCAACATAGCTACTATCGCCTTACTTTGTAGAAATCCATTGAGGGTGTCAACTTCCTCTTCTACATCATAGTCTCCACGGATCTATGACAAACCGAAGCCGGCCAACAGCCAATTTAAGGACAGGCCACAAAGACCTCAGGAAGTATTTTACGTTGCAAACAGGACAACGAGCCTGAGAGAAGTTGTCCAACCGGTCTATCACTGGGCCCTACGACGTCTCCCACCCTCAAGGGCCTCAAGACTTAGGCCTTGTAAACTTGCTTCTGCCACCTTCAGTCTGCAACTCACAGAGTTGATAGCGCACTGGTCAGTGCCGGTCCTTTGGGCTAGCCAGGTTGTTTAATGAGCACCAGCCACTCTTTTGTTTTTTTCTTTTTTTAACAAACACCCACGACCTCTGTTAGGGATGGTGATACGAGCACCCATCCCTACCAGGGTAACAGATGACTCCAGTCTATTGGTGGGGAGTGTCACCTGCTGGAAACCGGGTCCAGCGTCCCAATTGTTATACAAGAATATAAAATGCACGGAACTAGCACCTCTTCAGACAAACGAAAGCCCACCAGATAACGCATTTAACCTAGCAGCAGAACTCTACTATTGATCATTCACTCCTCATGCCCTCCATACCATTTACGATCCACCAAGGCAAGCTCGGACGGGGGAAATGGATCACTGAACAGATCGGGAAATCTCAAAGAAGCCCCTGGTTGGATCTTGAACCATTCTTGAAAGTTGATCTGATAGTCCCTCTTGAAGGAGACATCATCCCCTTCCTTTCCCGACCAAACTATCTCCCCCAGTTTCTCCCCTGAGTCCCCTCCCACCCAGTCTAGTGTAAATCTTTTAATCTTTTTTTTTTTTTTAATGTCAGGTTTTTGTTTCTGAGCATTTAAATCCAATTTAATTTTGGACCAGTGTGCCCAACTCTCAGTTTGGATAAATTGATGAATAAGGTCGGATATCTCTGATCCCTCAATAGCTCAATTGAAAGACCGATGTGTTACGATCCTGGTCATTCCGAAAGTGCAAATTCACAATGAAAGGCAATGCCACCTAATTGCGAAAGAAATGAAAGCACTTGCAAAGAGGTAGAGACCAAAGAAGAGAGAAAGAAGAAGAAGAAGAAGAAGAAGAAGAAGAAGAAGAAGTGCAATGAACCCAAGTCATGAATATGATTGTCAACTCAAGTCGCTGATAATTTCCAGTAATCAAAATAGTATCCAGAAAGAAGGAGGTGAGGTAATCATACACAGACGAAGAGGAAGGAGGGAGATAAGACAAAGGAGAGGATGATAAAATGCCCACTCCTTCTCCGGGCTCCTTCCTTGACCGCCACCTCACGATAACCAGTAATCTGAACACATATCGAA